GTCATCTTAATAACAATTACTAGTATTATCCCCAAGGGGACAGACTTGCAGTGACCACGCTCGCTCGCTTTCAGAGCCACTGTGGATCTGAGGGCAATGCTCCACTTGTCACTAGCTACTGGCAGAGGTCTTTGAAAGACTTTTTCTGAGAGGTTGCACAAAAGTGTGGCAGGACAAAGTGTGCGTCATGCCTGACTGTCAAAGAGGCATCTAAACCCCCCCCCCAGTATTTTTCACCTAGTTTTTGTTATCTCATTTTGTTTGGCCAGTCAAGAAGCCAAACACAGTTGGAAGGGGGGACTCCTAAACAAACGGGACACAATAGGACTGGCAGTGATATGCTTTGCTACAACTCCCGGTCAGGGTAATCTGTGTGATACCGACCGTCTGGGCTCATTCACAGCATCAGTCCGGACTTGAGTGAGTAGACATTAGGCGGTAGCGTTCCTAGAATTCGGCAAAGTATGGAATGTGCCAGAGTATGAAATTGCATTGTGATGGAACAATGGGCCACCTGCGCAGGATCCCGACACCAATTTGAGTGACTAAGCCGGGTTGAATGACATCTGGCAGGTACATGTACAGAAGCTGGATTCACATAGAGTATGAAATGATGTGGCATTCTTCTGGATAAAATGTACACACATTCATACATACACATGTACTTGTACATGTATTCCCGCTATTGAACCAGGGCTTGACGCGCAGGCTGGCATCTGAAGTTTAGGACTCTATCCAAAGCAAATGCCGGTACCGGTACATGTACCGTGCTGTGCAAGAGAGAGAGAGAGAAATATGCACTAAGTAAACAAATTTTTTACTAAGCACAACTGTACTTTGCGTGCAGCGTCTAGCCCAAAGTGCACTCACTTCATGAACTCAGAGGAGTCAATCAATTTTCAGAATTTTAATGAACACCTGTGGGTTCTCTATGTACAATATACCGGTACACATGTACTTTCCGTATTGTGTATGTACATTTATGTACAGGTGTAACATGTACAAGAACTCTGTATGCTGTATTGTATACCGTGTAAAAGTACATTGTACGGTGCTCATGTACATGAAGGTTGCATAAAGTACATGTAGCCTTCTCTTTGACTGATACAAAAGAGGTCTGTGATCGTTTACAGGTACTTTGACCGTATTCCTTGTGTTGTCTTTCTGTACAAGAAAACTGGCCCCCAAACTGGTTTATACTTGCGCACACTGGACAGTATGTAAATGTACCATACATGTACATGTATGTTCATGACGAATGCGAGAATATTTGCAATGTACATGTCCATGCATGTACATGTTCAGGACATGTACATTGTGTACACCTACATGTTCATATGTACATGTACTTGTACCCTGTATTATGCAACCACACTTAACAGTCACATTAAGCTTAGTCTGCAGTATGGCACAGCATGTTTTTTTTACGATTATGATATACATGTACATGTACCTTACCAGTAGGTAAACAAGATGGCTGGTGTGGTATCGGTACATGTATGTGCCAATTTTGAAAGAAAGTAAAACGGAACATTATGCCTTTCAATTTAATTCTTTTGTTGTCCTAATTGTTTGTGAAATTTCATAGGTTGGACGTGGTTTCAACAAAAGGTCAACCATACATGTACCGCACCTGTACTTTTTTTTTGGTAACTTCTTTGAAAAATACAACGAAACTGCGGGATGTTTGTTTTTCCAGAAATATCTGCCGGTCTGCATCCATACAAAGACAGCGTTTTATATCAATATTTTCCGGCTTTTTTTTTTCAATCTGGCGTCTGGCGATCGTTTCTCGTAGACACTTCCGGACCGGATGTGTGCGGTTTGTATTCAATGTTCCAAGTGCAAATATTGAGTTGCAGGGTTCAAGTATACGGCTATCTCTGGTTGTTATTTAACAAAAAAAAATATTCCTGATGGCTTTCTGGGATAAAAAAAAAAGAACAGGCAAAAGAACACGATTGCTTGGCTGCATAAGTAACCTCTACCAGCCTTTCCAATTTAGCTTCAAAATGCGGCATCTTCAAAGCAACATTTCTGGGTTTGGGCAGAGCTCTGCCAGACAATTACTTTGTTGAACAGCGTGAAGTGTGCAGGCACAGCCGTGGCTAAGTCATGTAGAACGGACACAGTCAGTGATTAAAATGCAGAAGTGATCAAATGAATACACACCTATGTACATGTACTGTGTGTGCATTAGAAAATGGGCAATTCTATGAAAATTAAATGACTCAAAAAGAGGGCCACATTTTCAAGTTTTAGAACAAAAAATGAAAAATGTCTGCATTAAGGACACACACACACTGCATGTTTGTTGGGGCACTGCATATTTGTTAGATTTGACATTGATAAATTCTACATGTACCGGCACCAGTACAATGAAAAGAACTAAACTCAAAGATTTTCACTGTGACAGCCTGACAGTCAGGGTTCAAACAGACAAGGTCAATTTCCAATAAAAAAGGTAATGTTTAGTATTTGCAGAAAACAAAGACATGTATACATGTACATCCATCAGTCAAAAATGCTTGTCTCTTAACATCCAAGTAAAGCCCAAAATATTCCACTGCTGAAAATGGCAAATCTGGCAAGAAGCTGGCAAATACAAGAAAATCATGCACAAGCAAACTGGGTAGGTTCATCCTTTACAATGGGCCTAGAAGTAGTCAAGTTACAGGAAACTGTACGTGTATGTGAATTTAACTTGCTCTATATGGAAATTTCAGTGCCCTTAATTTTTGGGGGGATCAGAGCAGCATTCACCTGGATGACAACTTTCAGCTGTAAAACAGTTTGCCTGGCCCGTGGCCCGGCCATTTGCATTTACAGGCTCAGTGTACAGCCGTGCCATATATTCGGTCAATATACCGATACCTACATGTACGTGTACAGTGTGTATCTCTGGGAATTATTCAGAGGAAAGCCTCGACCTACTCTGAGCATTCAAGTGCAATCACGCTGGAACGAATGTGGAACAAATTAAACTGGAGAATGTGCCATTTGAATGGCTCAGCGGAAGAAATGCGGCCGAATGGCGAGTGAATGGGGCTGGAATGCAATACACATGCAGATATGTACGGTGTAACTGGGATAAAAGTGCAGAGTCCAAAGAGAAGACAGGAAGAGTCTGGGTGGCAAACAGGTTAACTCATTTGATCACATGCTCTAAAATGATTTAAATCACATACGGTAAATATGTAGAGACAGAGTGGCAATGATGGAGGATTGAAGTAAGATGCCTGACATACATGTAATATGTCCAAAGAATTTGGATTAAATGGGGTTAAAATGCTTCAATAGTTTCACGTCTTCCTCAAGTGACAGAGAACGGGTAAAGGAGGACCTTTTACAAATTTATACAGGTGATTCCATAGTACACACATGCATCTTGATTTTAAAAAGTGAACTTACTAGGAACAAAGTCCCACAATTCTGTCTTCTTGCCATACATGTAGATGTACGGTACATGTGCTAGTATATTATGTAATGTGGACTTTGACCAATTTCCATAATTCATATCAAAATCCAGACACTCCAGACACATGCATCAATGTACATGCTACTGTACTTTACAGTGCAGTGATAATTTTCAATGAACCCCCTCATCCCGGTGATATCAAGTTAAACATTAAAACCATTACCTCCCATAATCTCATCTGTCCTATCAAACTACATGTACATGTACCCGGTATGTACAGGATGCACTTCAGACAAGGTCCAATGAACAACTTGCGTTAAATTTGAATAAAATCTGGTACACTGTGTTATCTGATTGCACAGAAACGTAACAATTTGAATTCCCTAGACTAAAAACACTGTTGCTATACCTTGTGATTCGGGTCAAGCTTTTGCATAGCGACCACCATCTCTGGAATGGACTGGTTCCTTTGTGCCGTTCTTATCCATTGAGATCAGTGCACAGTTGGAAGGCGTCTCTTATCATGCTTATGTAATTAAGCAAAAGCTTGCCCTGAATCACGAGGTATAGCAACAGTGGTTTTAGTATGGAGAATTCAAGTTATGTTCAAGTGACTTTAAAGAACTCAGTGTACCAGATTTTATTCAAATTTAACTTGCAAATGGCTTATTGACAGTTTATGCTTGCTTTTTCATTTCTAATTTTCTTCATTATACATGTACCATATCGCATGATAGGCCTACCGGTACATTATCCAGCTATTTTTCATGTTTTTTGTGCTTCTGGAAATGTTGAGTACAGGTAACGTCAAGTTTGATGAAAAAGGGAACACACAAGCAAGTAGTAATGACCAAAATATTATGAATGATTACTATTCAGGAAACAAATGGCACACCGGTATTAAGATGTCGCACACTGTACATGTAATGGCATTCCCTTATGATGTTCATTTTAATGCAACAGGCAAATTATTATGCTACATCATACTGCATGGCCCTATTATTTTTACAATACCCATCCAGGGCTTAATGAACAATCAAATCCATCCATTAACCCTCACAAGTGCTGCTACATGTGTGCATTCTTGCATGACTAAACGGTGCTGTCAGGTACCCTCTATTACACAATTAACACTCGAAAGGTGACCGTTCTTTCTAAAAATGCTAATTCTGAAACTTGGCAAGGGCTATCCTTCCAAAGCTGACACTTTGCGTCTACTTTCTCTATTTCATTCACATGAAAAAAAAGTCTATATGTGAAACTGATCTCATCTGCCCACAATTGCTGCTGATTTTCTAAGTTGTTTTTGAAAAGAGCCAAATATTGAAAATCAATCGCTTTAGTTGATTTAATTTCATACTGAGCAAGTACATATCTGAGTCATTATCCAAATATTGAGTGGTTGGCGTTGTTTTACAACTGTCTCAGTTTTGTTGGAAAACTAGGAATAAACATTGTACCGGTACCTAAATGTATGTGAACCCACACATCATTTGCTGCAATAATGCAGGGAGTTGGATTTTTAAAGGCGCACGGTTGAAATGACCCTAGGACTTTGGGTTGATATTGTGGAAGCACTTACCAGCAAAGGGATCTTCCTCGTCTTGTCTCAGCAACTCGGTATCGCCGCTACTGCTGGTATCAGTGATGCTCTGAAACTCGTCGTTGGCCTGGTAACCCTCTGAGTCAGCAATGCTTGAGTGAGTGAGAGAGTGGCTGCCGTTCACTGGTCCCCTGCCGGTCTCAGTCTGGTGCAAATCCACAGGTCCTGGGTGACTATCGTCGGTGAAATGAGTTTGGGGTGTAGCGCCGATGCCCGTCCGTGGGAAGCCAAAACGGGATGGTTTTTCTGGTCGGTTCAGCCGTCTTCCGGACTGTCTCTCTTCGCTCCGGTCGTCAAATCCACTGGACGGATCGGCGAGGGAGTAATTAGTCCCTGTGCTGTAAAAAACAGAACTCTCTGGAGCGAGGCAATGCCGGGTCTCAAGGAAGCGAGACGCCTGTTCTGAAGAGTCTGCGGGGTCTCTGCACCCGATCGGCCGGAAGGCTGATCCCTCCTCCACTGATGCACGCTGAGAAGTCCACGCTTGATTTGACGGCTCCTGCCCCCCGAGCAAGTTACCACGCGGGAAGGACTAGGCAATAAATAAAAAAAATTAAGTGAGACAAGAGTGCGGTCGTATAAATTGGACGTGATCAGAATGAATGCAACCAATCGGGCAGGAGCTTTGAGGTAAATAAGGAAGCTTGGCATGCTGGAAGCAGCTGAGAGTGTTCGGGGGTCTTCATGTAAAATTAGCTTTGGCCTTGGACAGCTGGCCAGCCTGGCGGAACTTGAAGGTATGCTTGCGCTAATCTGCTAAGTGGTTTTGGAAATTGCTGGGAGGGTTGGATTAAAAGAACTGTAGTGTGCCGGTGATTTGTCAAATGTGCTTTTGTGCACAGGCTTTGCAGAAAGAATAAGCATCACAGGGTTTACAAATATTGAGTTTAATACCCCGCTTTCTGGGGGGAAAAAAGAGAAAAATGTGAACAATCAGACATAACAAGCAACAGTACTAGTAGAATGCATTAATGGAACAGTAATTCAGGAGCATGAATTTACGTGTACATGTATGTGTGTGTCTGCATATCGCAATGTCTACTGCAAGAAGGCAACTTAATGCATTTGAACTTGTCATAATTGCTTTTCAATTTGAAAAAAAATTTAAGGACTGATATTATGACCCAGAGAGAAATTTTCCCCAAGGCAAAATTTTTTTCCAGACGCAAAATGAATGGGTTGTAACTCAAAAGTTGTACTTATCAGTACTGTTTGAATGTTCGCAGACTTCAAAGCCACAGTGGTGAACAGTTGACAATTGAATGATGTTGTTACGGATATATTTAATCTGCTAAAAAAGGTCAATTAATCCCAGGTGGATTTCCAGAAAGGTCTAAATGTCGCACTTCCAAAATATTCATTCACGACTTCAAGTACCAAATCAAGTACCAAAACGAGCAACAACACACTGCACTTTATATGTGCATGTACGACAATACATGTATGTCCATGTACAAACCAAAGTACGATACTACCAAAAACTAGACAGCTGTTGCTCAATGCTGAATTAAAGGAATACATTTGTAGGATTGTTTGTAATTTTCATTGCTATCTTCTGCGTACTTTCTTTGCTCTCGTTTCACATTTGAATTTTTACACAAATAGTTAATTGACACCTGGTGTCAAATTGATTTAGTTTTCTTTGCAGTTTAACAACTACATGTACATATGTGTTCTGTGTAGGTGTACTTTTCTTTGGGAATGTTTTAAAGTAATGTATACATTCATAATGATGTAGTAACTACATTGCTCTTACAAAAATGTTGAAAAAATAAAAAATACATCACATACAAAACCAGGTGAAATAGACTGAAGGGTGTTTGTGTCCAATCCTACTAAAAAATGCTACCTAAAATGAATCACTATTTACAAGCAACATATTAATTTTCCCAGCCTGTGACTCCTTTTCCGAAGCTGTCAACCAAGTCAACCAATCTGTTCAGATTGGTTGACTTGGTGGAAAGCTTCAGGAAAGGAGTCTTACCAAACGTCAATAAATTAAATTGTACCCTCAGAAAAAAAATATGCCAATCTCAAAATTTTGGTGCTGGTTACCGCTACACATGAACCTGCTGCTAGTGGTGCTGGTGTTGAATCACAGCACTTTTTATTTCTTAATGTTACCAAAAAAGGGTGAAAAGTTTCAAAGGTTACATGTATGTTTCCTTCCTGCCACGTCACTGGTTCATTCTCCACAAGACAATAGAGGGCAGTATTGCACTGTCTTCACTGTTGCCTTCTTTTTGATGCAGTGTTTCACAAAGATATCAGAGTAGCACGCAACAGAACAAGCTGGCAGCTTTTGCAATCATAACTTTGCCTCTGTTTTCAGTTTGATGCTTTAGTTTTGTTAATTTAGTCGCATGAGGTGACACTCTCTGAACACTGCCCCACTTTCTGCTACACAAACATCCAATAGTTTATGACCAGTAAATGTGAAGGCAAACAGAAGGAATTCCGTTAGCTTTACTCTCCATCTTCCAACACCCTTCCATGTATATCGAGATTGTGCATATATCAATAATACTGCAGATTCACAGCACAGCTCACCACCAAGAGGTTGCAACAGAAAGGTCATTTTGTATGCAGTGCATTGTGGGAAATGGTCGACAAATTCTATTTGCCCGCTGCACGCTAGCAACTGGAAGAATTCATGATGCTTGTTTGTCGGGGAAGAAGTTTGACACGTGTGCTTCAACTAGCAGTTTCAATTGATCCCTTCTTTCTACTGCATGAAAGGGCCCAATCCATCAAAAATTTACTGCCTACTGACATGTATACCCTCAAGTGCTAATCACAGCAAGGCGGCCATGCTTTGACTGACTTTAAACTTAAAAAAATGGCCCCTCCACGGCAGCTTCTGTGTGGTGCACTGTACTGTGCTTTTGCCCAAATTGTTTGCCAGAGCAGCATGGGTTAAATTCCGACGATACACGTTTCAAACTGGCTTAGCGTGCATGAACTGAAGCAAACGTGGAGAAGGCACCGAGGCAAACTTGCCCAGTGCGGAGAGACTGGCAAACTTCCCTCACCTGTGGGGACAGCTTGGCCTGAATGCCCAACATGGCGGTGTGCGGGGAGGGTGGTGGGTGGTCCGGGGTGGGCGGCTGGGAATAGCAACTGCCGGGGGAGGACGGCACGTCCGAGTCCGCCGTCTCCGAACTCTGGAGGTCCGAATAGTAGGAGCTGGTGGCCAGCGTGGGCAAACTACCGTTGAGGTCATTGTTGATGGACGGCATGGGGAGAGTCGGGGTGGAGCTCCTGGGGGAAGCAGCTTGATGTTTGGAACGGCGAGGCGGAGGGACAGGGTTTATGCCTTCTGAGGTGGTTGAAAAGATGAAATTAATAGCAGAATAAATGCTTTTGATAAAAATGGATGAGTGATATTTAGTGCCATTTTTAGGGGAGTCACCACTCAACTCGTATTCATGAATTTCTACTCACGAGGCCTATACTCACTTGTTGGGGATAAGTCTTCCAGGGCGGAGCCCACCGAGGAAAGGGCAACTCTGGTGGGCGGGGGGATGTTGTAATTCTCGTGCTGTCCTGTCGTGGCGTCAGAGAGAAGCTCATAGACATCTGCGTCTGTGTCGCTGCCCGTGGATGAGCCCATTGTACTGTTGCAATGTGCTGGGATCTGTAAAGAGAAACATGTTCACAAGAGTCATGAACTCTACTGTGTAATGATGATTTGACAGAGGGGAGAAGATATCCTTCCTCGACTCACGAATTATTATAAAAAACCATGATGGTTGTTTGAACAATAAATTAGAGCAAAATGTCCAAGTATGAGTTGAGAGAATACCAGTTAACACCGAAAAGCATTTTTGGTTTCATATCAAAGGGAAACACTGCAACTCCTTGCAGATCATTGTATGACATAATTTCCAAACTGATACTGCAACTTTCAATGCCTCAGATGATTCACAAAACCAAAACTAGTTTACTGCGACGCTAAAGCAAGAAGAAATCTGGTTTGCTGTGGTGTGCGAGACAAACAAGCCGGGCTGTACATGTATGTGTAAATTTTTACTCTGCATTTAAACAAAAGGAAACCCGCAAATGATAGCTTAAAACAACCAATGGTGGCCTGGACCTCGCTGAAGAAAATGGGGATGTGGTCTAAGACTATCGTGAAGAACTGCTGATATGTGTTTTCAACGGATTCACTGTGTAGGAATCATCCCTCCGTTGCGCTCTGCAGTTGGTACAAATCAGTGGTGTACACTCACTTGCAAGTGCTGCAGGGGAGCTGTGGAGCTTTGCACCTGCTGCATGGTGACAACCTCACCGCTGTACGCTTCGGACAAATCCTCATAGAAGCTCTCTGACTCTGACGAGGAGGGCATGGGACCGGGGCCGGGGATGGGGTCAGGGGCTTGGGCCAGGAGAGGGGGGTGGTCCAGGAGGACCAGGCTCTTGCGGACTTCGTTGACGTCCTCCTTGGAAGAGATAACGGGGTCATCGTCAATGGGGTCTGGTGCCTAGAGTTGACGCAGATGGAGAATGGATTGCAAATAAGAGAGACAGAAAGCTAACGCAAAAGTGAACCCGGATGGGTTGCCAGGGTGTGGATGGGTGGGTGTGGATTGGTGGATGATTTGGTGGATTACTGTGGATACAGAGTTAGTTAGCGGAGATTGGTGGTTCATGTGTGGAATAGTGATTGCATAAATCTGTGGACCAAGGTGATTCTAGGTGGACAGTCATTCTGACCACTGTCAAGGATAATTAAGAATCATCATCATCGATCATGTCATCTGGAAGTTTTCTTCTGGTGGTACACGCCCCAGGCGTGGTGCCATTGCTCTCAATCTGACATATGACCCTGCAACTCTTGTTTCATTGCACCCATATAACTGCAAAGTGTCTTAAAATAGGACAACTTTGGAGAATGAGGTCTGACATGTGGCCAGCAAATTTCAGTGTTCTCTTGTTAATAATACAGCTGACTGGTGGAACTAAGCCCCCTCCGTAAAGTTAGCAGGTTTGGGTGGTGGCCGGTGGCCTGGAATATGAGGTTTTCTTTTACTAAATAAATTCTGTTCATGCCTTGGTGGATGAAATCGGCATGCATACAGAAAACTGATTTTCAAATGACGTGGTTCTGTAGTTGGATGAACCTGGAGCACATGCAATGAATGAGCCCATTCTGGTTTTGGGTGGGTAATGGACTTGGGAGCGTGCAGGTCTTCAACAGAATTTGTGTAAGGGAGCCACTCTAGCATGGGGTTTGCCTAAAAACAAAATCACTGATAAGGCCAACATAGTAAGCAACCAATAAATGAGGAAAACAAAGATATGAAAGAAATAGCATAAAACCCCCACAGGATTCTCTCAACAACTTGTCAAACACAACAACGGCAAAGTGTGTGGACTGCAGTGTCCAACAGGCGGGCTTTAACGATCGCCTGACGACAAAATCGCAGTCGTTGAAATAAGTTTCTACAGTGCCTGTGGCAAACCTGTTCCGGTTGCATAAATAGCACATTCTACAAAAACTCACAACTTTCCCACTTTTTCCTTTAAACTTCAAAAAAGCGCACAGTTGTAGGCCTCTAGTTAAATAATAACTCTTAACTCTAACTAAATAATAAGGCCTCTGCTAAATAATAAAAATCTTTGGGAAAAAAGCTCATTGTGTACGTATTTTCTGAAGCATAAGAAACATAAAAAATGATGAATTTCAGCCCATGAAAGGTCTATTCTTGATCAATCACCCCACAGCTTCAAATCCATGCCGTCACGGCCAGTCTACTCCCACTTTTTCAGAAGGACTCACGTAGATGTGCCGCTTCTTCCTGGAGCTAGCTCTCATCAGCACGGCGGGCTCCGGCGGTACGGTGGTGGGAGGAGGGGCAGAGCATTTGAAAGAGGACCCCGTGGACTTGATAGGCACTGAGGGCGAGGCACTGACGGTGGCTTTGGTGGCATCCAAGCGGAGTTGGGTGTACTCCCCTGCGACGTCTTCGTCGTAGTAGTTGCGGTCCGGCAAGGGCGGAGGTGACTTCTCCGAATCTATTCAACAAGAATACAATAATGGTCCATCGTTTAATAAAGAATTCTGTGCCTACCCACAACCATTGAAGACCAATTGTACATTGGCTGCATCCTAATCATTTGGCTGTAGCTGGCAATATAACAGAAGTCTACAGGAATTGGCTGAAACCGCTAGCCACTCTAAATAAGTTTATGGGAAGTGGCTAACACTGCTACAGATAGCCACTCCACATAAGTCAACGAGAAGTGGCTGTGCCACTGGCCACTGCCTTCCATAAGGACACATTTTTTCCATCCACAGCCGGGTGATTCTGATGCAGCTGTAACTAATGGATACTTTAATTTCTCAACCTTCTGCTGTGCACTCAAAGTCACTTCTGCTGTGCTTTTCTCAAAGTCACAGCCTCTACGAGGTTGTGGAAATTCACTTGAGACTTGCTGAACAGAGACAGAGGAGGAAGAGGCCACTCTGTCAACTTGACTGGTAATCTATGCATAACATACATCCTGGGCAACAGGTAAAATTGATAAGTTGATTGACAAGTGATCACTGATCAAACTCGGACCGGTGTTCCATCACCTGAGCTCTTTGGCTGAGACGCTGGGCTGCTGCTGCCCAAGGGAGCAGAAGACAGGTCATACATGGAACAGGTGGAGTTCACCAGCGGCGACTCGGCCTTGGGCGAGGCGGACAAGTCCACCTTGTCCAGCAGAATCCCGATGGAGGAGCGAGCTGGTTTCTTGGGAGGCACCTTGGCGGGCAGGTCCACGTTCATGTAGTTGGCACTGCGGCCCGCGCCCGCCATCGGGCGGAATGGCCGCGCAGGCTTTTTGACCAGCGGCGGGGTGTACGAGGAGTGACGACCGGCGGGGAGGTCAGGGGCCGTAGCTGGAGGCACGTTATCATACGTCGACTGCTGCTCAGCGTCAATGAGCTCTTTGGCTTTGCGCAGTGGGCCGGGAGTTGCTGTGGACGGGGGTAGTGGATCGCCTCTTATGTGGGCTGGAAAAATAAGGAAAATTTAGATTATGCGAATACACAATCATAAGACTTTCTATCCAAAAATCAGAGTAAACAATGCTTTGGATAGGAATTTTTTAACAATTCTGTAGTCCCGAAAGACTCCATGTGGTTTAAATGCAATACATTACTTCTATTAAACCCTCCTATGCAAAGACACATTCTTAAACCGGTTGTCCTATCAATCAGAACCAGTCAAATTTCCCACATGTGTCTGTGTACTGGGAGAAATCAAGTGGAAGGAATTTTTGACAGTTACAACAAAAGGAGGGTTAATAGACATTCTAGCACCGCTTTCATGTGAGCTCCTTGACAAACTAAAAAGAGCACTCTTGTACATCTCTTGAATAAGCCACACAGTGATACCGCACCCAACAGCAGTGTATGTCATTGCATGTCCAAATCAACAGGCTGTGGCTAGAAACTGCACGTCTAGGGGAAATACATTTAGCCACTAACTGGTGGTTTCCACAGACAAGTAAGCTATGTCCAACAGTAGAGACACAGCCTCAGGCAGTGTCCAGATTACTTGGCAATGGCTTGAAATTACATGAGTCCATGGCGCTAGCCACAGCCACTGTATTGTGTATTTTCAAGCCGCAGCCAAGTGATTCTGACGCGGTCTCAATTCTTCTCTGCTGGTTTGGATGGGAGTGTGCTTCGGAGCTCAAGCACCCAGACTCTCACCTTTGATCATGGCGGCTATTTCGATGGCCACTTTGGACGGGTATCCTTCCACTTTCTGCAGCGCTGTCTCGCTGGCAGAGTCCTTCATGCGGTAGTTGATCGCTGGGCTGTGCTCTAGGAGGACTCGAACCGCCTCCACTTTACCAAAAAGTGCGGCCTCGTGTAGCGCTGAACCTGTCTTGAGCTGCAGGTGGGGGAAAATAAGCACTGTTAAGCAGTTTTGTTAAACAGTTTAAGTTTATGCTTGAGATTGAGTTCTTTGAAGTCTCCTTTTTTGCTTGCTTTTGATGTCTGTGGACTGTTGAGTCCTCTGTACTTCAAACTTAGGAAACCATCAGGAGGATTTTACTCATTTTGAATAAGGATCTGGTTAATATTTCTGGTTGTTTAACATTTTAGTTTTTATGATATACTAGGTTTCAAGCCTGCGTAGTCAAACAGTGCCAAGGGATTATTTTGCTTTTCCACTTCCTGCCATTCTTGATATGAAGGAAGATTTGATGAAACCACAATCACAGTTTGGGAATTAGGCTGGAGTTTTTTTCTGCTAGTGAGATATTTAGAAATGTGTTCCGAGCTAGAATGAGAGAGGGTGTGCTTGTACATGGAAACGGCGCTTCTTTGATAGAAATTCACTGTGAGCATGCAAGTTTATGCACACTTTGTGTGGGGCGCAGTGAGTACGTGCAACCAGTATATGCTGGAATGCATGGTCCCTGCGGACAACCCCCCCCCGTGCACGGGCTCAGTTGAAAACCTTCCCACTGGCCCGTCTTTCCTTAGCTGAGGAGGGTTCACTTCAACTTTTGGGAGTCAGGTTGGCGTAGTGTTTCTTTCCTCACCTTCCACCTCTGCGGTCTGGGTTTGATTCCTGGCTCCGTCCACATGTGGATTGGGTTTTCAGTGCTTACCAGATTTCGTGGGTTTTACCCAGAATATTCCTCTGGGGTTTTCCTCCCACCTGCATAAGTGTTACTGCTTCTAATTGTCTCCTCTCTACAGATTTCTTCAGGCTTGGGATCTACAGTGCCTAGGACACTTTCGAGGAATCCTTAACGTCATTACCAGAAATAAATTACAATATAACCACTTCCTGCGAGGGACTCCGGGATCGGAGACGTATGGTTGATATGGGTGGCCGGGGTCTCCGAACTCGGACAAAGGAAACAGGGCCTTGTAACAAAAGACCGTACTCCGAACAAAAGATCAGGCTGTTGGGCATTACCGAAATTTTTCACTCTCAAAAGTGGTGATAATCCAGTGTTGTTTTGAAACCGTATACCACGGTTTGGGGCATTGAGAGCAAGGGGATTACCACCAGGGACAAAAGCACTCCACCACCGCAG